GAGAAGTGCATGATGTGTCAGTCTAAGCATGTAAATACTGAAATGAAGAAAGTGCAGTTAAGTTTCCCTAAAGAGTGACAAAAAGGAAGAAAAGAGGGCAGGACAGGATGGGAGAGAGGATGCAGAGGCTGATGGTAACAAGTGACAAGCCTCATTCACTGAAGAGTTAAGATTTAGTGCCCCCTGTATTACAGTGTGGGTAAAAATCACTTTTAAGGACCCTAATGAAAGTTGAAAGTTACCTTCAGAAAGTTATGCATATTTCAACAGAAATAAAAATCATTATGCATTCTCTCTAAAGAGGATACAATCTCAAACTGTCAAAATTCTAAACTCTTCTACATATATTACATACAAATGCCTTCTATAAAGAAACCTCTTTTCATTTTTCTTCTAAATTAGCTTAGTGGTCCATGGTATTACACTACCTTGATCTAGCCTGTGAATAATGTGACAGGTAATTTTTATACTTCTTGCCTGTACTTAAGTTTGAGTGAAGATACGGAAAACAACTTTTATGATCTAGGTGTAAAAGTAAATGTTCTGTGAGTCCTGCATACCCAAACGTGGACATCTACTATGAAATGTTTCATGATGATTATGTGTCCGTCAATAAATAACAAAAAAAAAGAGTAAGTTGTTGGTTTTTTTTAAATAATGTGCATGTGCAGCAGGATTTTTCCCAAAACAAATAATAATGCTAATGTTGATGTAAACTACCACATTATCACAGAGGGGATTTTAGAAATCTTTCTGTAACAGGATGCACTAGAAGGATGAATAATATGCAAATAACATAGGAAATCATCCAACTAGAATTTTAAAAAAATTGAATCCTCATGAAACTGTTGACTGCAATGACACAGAAATGGATGGTAACAGTCAATTAATTTCCATCTTGGAAAAAGCTCGAAATACACCTGTATCAGCTGAAGTTTGTAAGGGATGGAACTCAAAATGCTGAATAGTTCAATAATGTTTGAGTTACAATGCTGGAGAAAAAGTCAAATCTCTGACTGAAACAATGGAAAACCCAGTTTATATTTTCTCTACTACCCAAACATTAGGCAGCCACAGCAAGGCTCTTTTTCTCAGTCTCTGTGATTACTTGTGCTCCAGGACTTTAGCAGCGATGCTATAAACTGTGCTATGAAGGAAGTAATCAAAATAAATTAACTTGTAACTAGGGTGTTGGACATTTTCCCTTCAGGGAAGAAGCCCAGTAATACCCAAACACAGGTCTTTTAAAAACTACTTTTCCTTGTCCTCTTTCATGAAAGAAAATAGGCCATCAGAATGTTGAGTCTAGCAGAGCAAACTACACTTTAAGGTGCTACATAGGGAGGAAAAGTAAACACAAAAAATTACAGAGATATGCTCATATAAAAAGAAAACCAATGCAAATCTTAAGGAAATAAGGGAGGGAAGTATGAGCAACGAGGTGAGCTCTGATAGGGCAAGGCACACAATCCGTGTACATCCATTCAAAAATGAGTTCTGTCATGAATCCAAAGGGAAACCAAGTGCAAACCCCTGAGGTCATACACCACCATATCCAGTGTTTTCAGAGTTATTCCTAATTTACAATCAGGTAACCGAGCTGAGCTTCAGTCATGTAAATAAGATTATTTTGTTTACAAAGTTAAAATACCAGACGAGAGGAATTTACATCTAAGACACCAAGCAGAGTTGTGATGAACATACTCTCGTCTCTTACATGCATGTATTCTCTCATTATGGAGGGCATGTATGTATTATACCTGTTACACCATTTTTGGGGTTGAAAATCCACTGTTATATAAACAAAACTAATATTTTCAAGAACACAGAAACAGTCCACACATAGGGGAAAAAAATCAGAATGTACTCACCTGTGCCATGTAGTTATTTGTGACATACCAATGCTCATACAATGAAGTAATTTGACTGATATCCAGCTTTGATGCAGCACAGAGTGGCTAAGTCTTTTATTTAATAGCTCTCTTAGTTTATGTTGCTCTTCCTTGTTGCTGTAAAGGTAACTGAATATGTTTCTAACTCTATTCTCTGCTGAGATGAGGACTAACAGACTAATCATGGCTTTCAGTAGCAGAGAAACTCTGATTTGAAATCAACACTTAGGTCTCTCTCTGGAGACTCTACACAGTCACTTGGATGCAGACTAATCATCATCTCAAATAGCATAACTCATACCGAAAGCAAAATAATCAGCACTATTAGGAAAATCTGATCAGCTTGTCTCCTAACATTACTAATCACAATGTGACCCTCACGTGATGGAAAACCCAGCACACACCAGAGGTAAGGAGGTGAGGAAGGCTTTCTTCAGCAACTGCAAGAGAATCCTTGGAAACTGGGGCAACATTATGATTTTTTTTCCACTTGAGGAATTCTTCCAGGCTTACTTTGAGACTAAAGTGCTGCATATTTTCTGCTGGTGAATAAATGAGCTGCATTTCACCTAGTGCACATTTACAGCTGTGGCTGAATTCTCAGAAGGCACTTCATGGCTCACAGACCCGACCACTGCATTTGCCAGGCAGATTTAACCTCTCCGAGGCTGTGGTTCACTGTATTATGTAATTCCAAGCCAGACAGTTTTACTTACTCTTCTGGCCTGAATGTTTCCTCTTGCAACTTTTATTTCCTCGTATTTACTCCTCAGGTTCCTGTCAATGGAAGGTTTTTATAACCTTCTCTCTGCGGTCTGGCATGGCTCCGACAGGGTAAGAAATGCATTTCTAAAGCTGACCTGGAGCTGCTGCTCTGGAGGAAGAATACAAGCACAGGTCTTGGGCTTTTTAACTCTAAAGCAGTTTTTTACCAGCTGTGGAACAGCATCAGTTTTACCTGACAGGTGGGTAAAATAAACAAGTGATGTATATTCCAAAGGAAGAGCGATTCCTGAGTAGGTCACAGCAGTGAGAGAGAGAGAAGAGGAAAAATGACCTGGCAAAATGATAACCTACAAAAGCACATCAAAACAGTCCATTTCTGAACCTGTTTGCCCAAATCTTGTTTTGCAATGAAGATTACAAAGCTTAGGTTTAGTTTAAAAAGCTGGATGGAAACAAACAAGCAAAAATCCTTCCCTGCAAACCAACAGATTTTTATCAGCCCCTAGCCTGCCTATCAGAAATTCCTACAATGTTTATTAATATGGCTGTCAACACAGAGTAATTTACCTGCCTTATAATATCTGCCAATGAACAGAATCCACAACAAACAATGGCAATAAACAGTAAAGGATAAACAGATTGCTTGTTTGATAGAACATAGGAGAGACAAGGAGCTTATCTTCTGGAGGACTGTTAACAACTCGTACAATAAATAACAAAGATACAGCAAATAATCCAAATTTAATCATCTGTGTGACTTCACTTTTAGGGAAAAATTCCATCCTCTTGCCAAGAGAAATTTACACATTATGCCAAGCAGATTTATTTCTCACATAAAACAGACCTCATAGGGTCAAGGTCTCCTACAGTCTGAGAAGTGCAGTATGTCTACATCAAGACTGCAGATTACACTTATCATATTTATTTCTAGGAAATGAATTTTCAAGAAGGACAAAAGCTGACTTTTTAACAAAGAACCAAATTTAGAGTGTCAGGTTTAAGCAAATATAGAAATATTGTCTTTTATGATTTTAATTCCATTGATGAGTCATTCTGAGAGACAAAAACGCACATTTACAAGGTTAACTGAACACGAAGAATAACTTTGAATTAAAGTAGACAATAGCCAAGGGAACCTTCAGTGTTCATATTGTAAATGTTGCTGAGAAATACTTACTATTTTGATATACTCAACTTTGCAGATTCTTTCTCATGGTCTGTAGATTGTATATACACAGATCTTGAATGAAAACTATGTGGAATAGCTGCTAAGTGACAACAAAAAATTCCTCTGGACCACAAGCCTTCCATAAACATTGCACTCACACATCTTCTGCCTTCAGATTTTCCTTACAGCCTTTTACCTTTTGTTTAATCTGAAATAGAAAACTTTGCCTGATAGGTGCCATGATGTCTAGAAGCAGAAGTCTCCTTATTGATATACATTCTTGATTTGATCTATTTTAATCTACACAATGACACGACAGCAACGCTCCCTATTTGGCACATCCCTGGTTTGTTTGGCATATGTGAAAGAGAAGCATATTAGCAATGTCAGGAGACATTCCAGCTCAACCCAGCCTCAGCTTTGCTCCTCAGCTTGGAAAGATGTGCACACAGGAGATGAGCACAGTGAAGAGGAGAAAGAAGAGAAATGAGGAGACTGTGAAGTCAGTGCATCGTTAAATTTGCATGAAAACACACACCTCATGCCTATTGTGTTTTGAAATACTCAATACCAGGCTTCCTGAATCTCAGCTCACCAAGTGAGGGTGAGTTTGAGATGTCCAGCTGCAAAAAACCTACAGTAGTGGAGGTGGAGGAAGGACAAACCCTCCTAACAATTTATTTGTGTTCAATTCTAACCTGAACTCCAAACAGCATAAAGTGTCTCTTCCTTCCACCCACCTTGCACAAGATAATGGACTGAAAAAAGCTGTGGTGTCTGGAAGAGTACAGTCAAGCATACAGACCCTTACCCCCAATGTTTATCTTAGAGAATTTTATTTTTCTCATAGTATGAAAACAGATATAGAATTCATTTTGAAGATTGTCACATCCTACTGTGCAGTAAAAAAAACACATCAATACCTGTTTCCTCTATGTTGAAAACAGTCTCAAAAGTTGGGTTAGATAACATGTAGCCTATAAAACTATCAGCAATATTAACATTTTTAGCACAACATCCTTCAATGTGTATCTGTTTCTTTGAATACCATATCCTTACAAAAACAGACACTTTGAAGCTCTATGGTAATCCTCTGAAGACCTAGAAAAATGCACTTAGAGGAGATAAATTTCCACTACAACACAATAGAACCTGAGAAAGCATAATTCTATCTTCCTGCTCATTTCAGTTTGTCCATTTTTAGTCATAGCTACCTCTGATGCTTTGATGTCCTCATAGGAAAACTGTGTGGCAGGTACTCCGAGGTGGTTGATGAAATAATCTGAATCTCCCTGTATCTGCACAGAGCTCACATTGGATCCTGCACATCTAGCCTTTTCCACACAGTTGAATCTCTGGCTCTGAAAAAAACAAACACAAATCAAAGCTCTACTTACTTATTTGCAGTCAGACTCTTGAAGACTTGTAGCAATATCTCATTTAAACATCATTCTTTGGGTTGAAGCATCTTCAACATGGAAGACAGTGAAGTTTTGCTGCAACACGGCTGAATCTTTCAGAGGACAAGGAAATTCTTATCTAACTGAGATGGCAGGAGGGGAAAGACAAGAATTAAGGGACATGGACTGTCTCGTGCTGGCCAGAAGATTAAAAAGGCATCATGGTGGTGCCTTTTGGAAGATTTTGCCATCTTTAATGGGTCCTAAGGAATCAATTTTTATTCAGTTAATAGCATGCTCTGACACAACAAAAAGCTGAATTGGATTATCATATTCAATCTACGATCAGCCTGTGAAATGCTGGCAATGCAAAGAGTTTCCCACAAAGTAGGGCTTAAGAGAAAATCAGAATTAAAACATTAAAGATACCCAATACACATCTTCTGTGAAAGTAATACACATTTTCTGTGTAGGTTTTTAAAACAATTCTAAATCAGTGAAATCTTTGTATTTCTTTCATGTAAGTATTTAATGGTGAAATCTTAGCAACAGAATAAATATGGAAACTGGAAATCAAGCCCAGACTGAGTGCCACATATTTGTGTAGCTATTAAATCTAACAGGTAATTAAACACTTAATAAACAGTAGGCATAAAGGCTTTCAACATCTATTGTAACAAATAAGCTACTTAGGTTTCTTTTCAAGAATATTAGGAAGTTGAAGTACTGGAGATTATTTGCATTTAGCTAACAGTTTATATAGTATAACATAACTTCCTCACCTCTACCTACAAAATTACAGGCTTTCTAAAAGAATAGCCTAGTTTAACACAAAAATACAGCAAATTCTGTATATTAAAGTCTCCAAGGTTATCAGGAAAATGTTAGACAGAGACAAATCTTGGTATTTTCCCATTTCAAAATTAGCATAATTACTGCTTCACAGTTTCATTTCAGTGCTGTGAAGAATGCAATTGCATATTACACAGTTTAAATAAAGGCTGCAGAGTCTCACAGAAAATTATTTTAAAATACCTTCAAGAAATAGCTTCCATTTCACAAGTAATTTTGAAAGGTGGTTATATTACTTCTTTTTTTTTATCTGTTAAGCATTTCTGCTCCTGCCATTCTTACATTCACAGTTGTTCAAGGCCTGTCCAAAAAGTTCTAACAGAAATGGGAAACCCAAACAACAAATTCATTGGAAAAGGTGTTTTAATAACCACAACTGCATCTCCTAGAGTCTCTCCCACTCAAACCCAGCACACACGCAGGCAAAAAGCCATGGTTATGATTTCATAACTATATCTGTGCACAAGATCTGCTGCTCCTTCCAGGAATTATAAGGCATTTAAGGATCACCCAGTGTTCTTCAGATCAGCTGGTCAAGTTTCATAAGTAATGAGCAGCCTGTTCTTCCTTTAATGTTTAAAAACTCACTGAATGATGTGAAATTGTGAAATACAGCTTTTGACAGTTAATTCTGAATATCCACCAACCCCCACTTCTACCAGCCTACCAGGAGCTGAAGAGATGTCTTCCTACAGCAACCATGAAATTTAGTTTTTCTTATGCATGAAAGTTTATACATAAAATGTTTACAGCTTTGGTTAAGAGGACTATAAAATATGGTGGTTTGGGGGTTTTTATCACCATCCTTGACGGTATAGGATTAATATCTTTATGACAGCAATGTTCAATTCAATAGTACAGCATTTTAGGAGTTTAACTGCTTTATTCCACTTGCACTGTTCTCACACACAAGCCCAACAATAAATATTTAACCCAGCACCAATATAGGAAAATGCTTTACATGCTGTGCTCTTTCAATCTGTTTTTATTGCTATGCAGACTCTACAACACCAGCATTCTTCAACTCCTTGGTAACAACTGCAAAGTTCATATAATGTGTTTTGCATTCATTAAACAAATGAAATGTTTCCCCAGACTAATGGACTTAAAGAATAATAATGTTCTATAATTAATAAAACAAATAAAATTAATTAAAAAAAAATCTTTAAAAATGTATCTAGAATAAACTATCAGCAACACACATCTAACTCCCATTTGCAGAGCAGCCAAACTGTATTTCTTCAGCTGGTTAGCCTGACAAGAAAACCACAGACTGGCTGCATTTAGAGCACTCAGCTGCTCAGGCTGGACTTCACTCTGTCAGTCAAGCTCTCCCTTCACACTGGAGGCCAACCAAGCCCCTGGTGAGCCAGGGATCAAGGAGTGCTTGGTGTCAGTGCAAGGATTCACATGCTATTCATAATTGAATAATTTTATTTCTCTGGAGTTCATTTTGGGTGTTAGCAGCATCTTACAGGTTTATGTCACAAATTTGAGAAAATGAAGAATGCCATATGGCCAATCAAATGCGTTTAATTTGAATTAATGTCCTAACACACATCTGACACATCTGAAGTACAATCAAGTGGGACTTCATTGCAGATCTTATTAGTTAGTTCTGGTTACTTCTTTTCTTTACGTGATTGCAGCTTCACTTAAAACATTGCCACCTTTTGAAAATGGATTAAAACATCTAAGGAGCTTTCAACAGGGCAAGTAAAGAATGAACAGTTATTCTTACAGTATGTCAGTGATCCCAGCTTCAGAACTACAAGGAAGCTTATTCTTCATGAATAATTGATCTCTATTTCTGAGCTGAATCACCACCTGTGTCAGAGACTGCTGCAATTAAGGATTTGAGATATGAGAGACCATCTAGAGGAAGTAAAATTGTCTAAAGGAAGAGCTACAGAATGTATTTAATTCATCACAGACCTTGTAAAAATGCAGAAATCAAGAGATTAACATATTTATTACAGTAAATATGTAAATCAACAACAACAGGTAGTAAAGGCCAGAGAAGCTGCACAGCAAAGGACTCATAGGTCTGTCTCTCTCATCTGTAAACACCTGCCACACTCTAGCAAAGAGATCATTAGAGGCAGAAGGCTTGATGGTTCTTAAAAAAATATTAATGAATGACTGCCAAAGGCTATTAAAAAAACCACGGAGTTCCTAGGAACTGCATCAATTCTATGGCAAGCATACTTCTCTGTTTTTCCCAGCTGTCTATCAGGTCTGGCTATAATAACCTGTTCTGCTCTGTCTTTATTGAATGATTATACATATTGCTATTCATGCAAATCAGCTCTTTAATAAATTATTAGAGAGATTTAATATGGCATTTTGCCCTATAGACCTCAAAGTACTTTTCAAACCAACTAAAGGCAAGCAAGGTATCTAATATTTTTGTCTTGTTCAATATCATAGAGCAAAACAACTACATAATAATTAAATGCACAGCATTTCCCCAGTTTTGAGCCTTATCAAACTGACATGATTCAAGTATGTGCATAAAAATAATTCTAAATTATATTCATTCTTTCTTTCTCTGTGTAGGAAAAGAAAATCTAAATATGGTGGTGATAATTAATATGCTATAGAGAGTAGTTGTGGTTTAAATAGCCTGAATGTTACACACCACTGATGTGATGTATTTGCCTATTTATACAATGTGATCATTTGATTACCTGATTAAAGCTACACCAAGAAATCTTATGAGGTAGAGTGACTAAACCTTGCTGCATTTAATTTATGTTATATTAAGATTGAAGTGATTAATTAAAAATGAATAAAATGTTGGTTCCTTACTTCCTTAGCAATTTTTCCTTCCCACTTACACATATTTTCATTTAAACATGCATGAAGCCTTACTGAAAATATCTAAAATCATAACATTATTCAATGACCTTTAAGGGCAACATGAAGACTCTGGTGAAATTCTGTAGCCCTGCAAAACCAGTCATATAAAAGAGAAATTGAAATCCCAGAAATTGCCCCTGGTTTGGGATCTTTAGGACTACCACAGTGAAGTGAGAGATGTTCCTTGCACACACATATATTCCATTGAGAGGAACTTGTCACCAGGGAAAAACAACTCCCTCAAGAATTGTGTTTATTGAAAGTCATCAGGGACACGGAATTCAGCATCATCTGAGTCCCTCTGATACTCGTGGACACTGCAGGTGGTTTTTAAACAAATCAGGGATCCCCATTAGAAACTCTGAATTTCCCCCCCACCACCGTGCTCTGTATTTCCATGCACAAAGGCACCACACCTGGACATTCCAAGAGTAAACTGTTTTCTAGGCTGTGCAGGGAGGTAGAACTGGATTTTCACAAGAAAAAAACCCTGCCTTTTAGATAAACCTTTAAAATAATTGTTCTTTCAAAAAGCCTGCAGGTATTCTGCATGCCAGAGGAGGACTTTATCACCAGAGGGGAAGAAGAAACTGAAAATGTGTCAAACACAATACTTTCAAAAGGTCAGGTCAAACCAAGATTAGCCAAGACCCAGTTCTGATATTGTATTCAGATTTCTACTGAACCAAGGAAAAGTCAGTTTACCTAAGAAACACAAAAATAAAATAAAATAAAATTTATTCTATTAATAAAAATAATAAAAAATACAATTGCCAAAAATAAAATTCCAGTTGTACCTTTCAAAATTGTGTGAAGCAATTTTTGCATTTCAATGGTGACTTCCTAAAAAAATGGGAACTTACAATACCAGTGGTTATAAATAATGCATGGAGAAATATCTGTGCTTGGAACAAAACATTTAAATATATTGCTGTAAGTTATACTACTTTGCAAACTGGAGTTATTTTTTATTTAGCTTACAGCTAGAAAACATGAGACAAACTTAATCCTGTAATTCTTGTTCAAGGCTTTGGTTTCTGTTAAGCAGTATTTGCATACTTTTAAATATTTGTCTTATTTTTTACAAAAACATGACCATCAGTGTAAAGTCTTTATAATAAATGGTACCTCACAGGACTAAATCACATTTTAGATGCAAAAGTTACATGAAGCTGGTAGGAAATACAAAAGCAAGGTAATAAAAAATTATATAGTGTAAATTTAATTTTCTAGCCTGCACTTTTTCT